CAAACCATGCGTGGTACTTACGTAAGGGTGTATGAAAGTTTCTGCAGGAAAATTACTAATTCGGCAACCAGAAGAGCTCGAAGGCTAAAATTTTAAGAGGATATTCCCTGCTCACGTGCAATTTAAAAATCTCAAATTCAGCTTTCTAAGCACGCGGAGTACCCAAGTAAGGGTATGTGAATGTTTTGGCGGGAAAATTGCTAATTCGGTAACCAGGATAGCTGGAAAGCTGAAATTTTGATGGAATGTTCCCTGTTTACGTACAACACAGATGTTTCAAATTCAGCCCCAAGCTATGCGTGGTACTCACGTAAGGGCGTAAGAAAGCTTCTGCGGGAAAATTTCAATTCGGAATGCAGAAAAGCTAGAAAATTGAAATCTTGAGGGGAAGTTCTCTGTCCAAGTACAAATTAAGTATTTCAAATTCAGCCTTGAAGTATGCGTGGTTCTTACGTAGGGGCACTTAAAAGTGTTGACGAAGAAATTTCTCACTGAACAACTAGGTTACTTTTAAAGAGCGACTTTTAATTGGAAATTATACATTACTTTGCAAAACTTATGGGGATTTACTAGTGACCGCAAAAGGTACGTGTAAAGCAATAGCCATTCATACAGTTAATGACCTGAGTAATTCAAGTCCGGTGCAAAAACCCATGATCGCACGGGCCCGCCCGGTGCGTTCCAGCCTGGGTTTATTTTCATGGGAGTGCGGAGGGTGGTGGAATACAAATTCTCCGCTCATCTAGTTAAGTATCACGTTCCGATCCTCTCCGCGGGCCGGATCCCTCCTGTGGGCCGCCAGTTACCCACCTATGGCTTAGACCTTTGTAAGTCCTCATATCCGCTAGTGTTCGCCAGTTTAACCCCTATGTTATCCAAATTCACCAGTGCTTTCCGGCTAAGGCAGTGTATTTGCGGACTTCAGTGAATCTGAATTAGAAATTGATGAGGCATTTATATTACTTATTTCGTCTCACCTAATCTTCAAAATAACTCGAAGTAAAAAATGGGGATTATAACCTCTTAAGGTAAATATGAGCATCGCTTTGCCGCGCACCAAGCCTCGCATCAGACGGAAAATCAAATGTGCGACAGTTTGGGCTGAAATTTAGCCAATATTGATATCATCAAGCAGTTCTTGAAAATTCAAGAGAATTTTTTTAATTATCCTGGACACTAAAGCAATTATTGCATTTCCTTTTCGTCCTTTTGTCGCACGTCCCGTCATTCCTTCCTTTTATTTCTCCTGTCCCCTCCTCTTATTCTTCTTCAGCTGAACTGCATAAATAATCACAAAATAGGTTAATAATTAGCTTTATTAGATGTACAAAGTAAACACGCTGCTCCATTTTGCTCTTCATCTTTTTCATTTACTTTTGCTTGACTTCTTTTGGTGTAGCTGTGCATCTGCATGATTTTTTTCCCAAAATTCAGGAAAATGGAAACTGAGTTCAGTTTTTGTAGTAAGTTACAGTCATCAATTCCTTTACGACATAGAAAACCGCAGAACAGGCACGACTGAATTCGAATGACTCAAAAAATCTTGTTTTTAACCTGCTGTCCATCCTCAACTGACTAAAATAATCTGGCCGGCTCTTCTTCCTCTCGCGCTCTTCTGGTAAGTCATCCAGCCAACGTGTTTCCTTCTTAGCCATTTTGTCAACATGACCAACGATAGCCAGTTCTACTAGCGAGAAAAAAATGAAACCCTGAAATATGCTTTTTAGAGCAAAATCGATTTTAAAAAAGCAAAACAAAAATCAGATTTAACTAGAATGAAGATGTTCATTAGACAAAATTAAATTAAAATCGTTTTCCTTCGATGCCCAAGCTAAGCTATCGGCATAATTCAATAAATGTATTTTAACGAGTTTTTGTCTGAGCCAATTTAATTTTTTAAATAAATTTAAATTTTTAATTATAATGGGCGTCTAGGATCGGGGATAATAACCATTTTGGGGAAAAGAAAGATGTTAAGAAAAACCTGGCAATAAATTTTAGAAAAAGTCTGACAATAGTTTCTGAAAAAGTATTGTCAGCTCTGCTTTCTCGTATACATTATGAGCTACTCATAAACACTTATTACAGTCTAACTCAGCGAGGAGAAACAGTGGCCGAGGAAGTAAACTGTGAAACCAAAAGTAACAAGGAAAACAGTGAAGTACACTTTTATGCGCTTTTGCAGTGCACAATGAAATAGTCAGCAAAACGCATACTGTGATGACCCAGTGTGCGTGTGTGTGTTTGTGTATGTATGGATGAGTATGTATGCATGCATGTGTCTTTTTTTCATTTGTGGAAATGAAATCCGAAGCACAATATTTGAAGCCTGTCATGTTTTTGAAAGTAAACTTTGTAAAGAAGCGGACTAGTTAATTCCTAAAAAAGTAAATTTCAAAAAACTTACCATGCAGGCGAATATCCAAACATCCAGTGCTTTCACATACGAAACTTTCGGCAAACTACGAGCTACATTACCATACTAAAACGGCACCAAAGATAAGTTGGTCATAGACAAGCTGCTTTTTATAAACCTAATTAAATAACGACATGCACAAAGTGAGCCGGGTGAACAGTGCTAGAATTTTGCGTGACAGCGGGGCCATTGGTAATCGTGAGACGTGAAATCCTAAAACTGATTTAAGTTCAAATGATCTAAAAATCACCTGAAAAGTCAATGCCATTAGAGACGATACTCCAAGCGTGATCCTACCCGGCAAACATTTCGGATCCAGCCAAAATGCTATCCAGCTAAATTCCACACATGCATAAAAAATCACTACATTTAGGAATTGAATTGTTGAACTTTGGCTGCTTTCATGGCCTCATTTCTAGCAGAATCATATTTTTTTCTCCAACGTCATATTCACGGAAAACGGAGCAATCGTATTTTTTTGGTGTAAACCAAAATTTTCAATTATAGAAGCAGATTTTTCGGAGCTAAGAAAGAACGGCGAGGAGACGAAAAAGAGGAGGCATTTTAGCATCAAATTAGATTTACAGTAGTAAAAAAGTTTGCTTTATGCAAATTCAGGGTTCTGGAAAAGGCCACAAACGAAACTTAAATTTGATTAAATCCAAAGCTCATTGTCCACTATTTCTTCGCATGTGCCCAACAAATATACGTTCGAAGACAGCTACGCCAAATAAAATCAGTCATTTCTATTGCTCAAAGAATATTATTAGCAGCATCAAACCCAAAAACCAATAATTAAGTTCAAATAAATGTGTGATTTGCAAAAATTAGTAGTAAATTTGTAATTAACATCCACTGTGCAGTTTATTGTAACACAATAATGAATTTTTAACCAGCTTAGAACTTAAAATCATGCATTTTGTCTTCCAAACGCTTGTTGCAAATAATTTTCACTGTTTCACAGTTTGACATATGCAGAAATCATTGGGGTGCTCTAGTTACGCAAAGCTTTCACATATGTGCACATGAGATCGTACGTGGAAGCCGAATCTAAAATCTACAGGATCGCACATGGTCAGGAAACATCCTTCTAAAAATTCAGCTAAGCTCATTCCAGAGTTAGTAATTTTCCAACAAAAATTCAACAACACCATAGGTAAGTCTTAGAAGCACGTGGAAGCCAAATTAAACTTAATGAGTCATTCGTGGGTAGGGAGCATTTTAAAATTTTGGCATCCTAGCCTACCTGATTTTTGAGCTGAAAAAAAAAAAACGGAAAAAATACACTCAAACCACGTGCACGCGCAGTGGTATTGGCAATATGTTTTTTTCCAATTGCCATAATACAACACATGTAAAAACAAATTAGAATTGAACATCATAATGGTACTTTGGTTTTTATATACAACATTGCGGTTTTACTGAAAATTTTGAATGAAAAATGAACCTGATGAAAACGGACGCGTACGTTGGCATATACAGCTGTAAAATATAATAACCGTAAGTTCGTCGGAAATAGAATGTTGCTTTCAACTGATCCCACTGCCCTGCCGGATAATAAAATTTCTGCTTTTGCCAGGTATAACGTGCCAGTTCAAA